TTGTTGTCGCAAACAGTAATTATTGGACCATTTTTGGGGCCGATCCAAACTAGGGCGTCGCTGGACTTACTTTCCTTTATTGTCCAAATTATCTGTAAATTGTGATAAATGAGATCATTTCCTTGTTGATCTTTCTATTTGAGTTCTGTTTTATTATTTAGTTTCTCTTTTTTTCCTTTAGACGTAGAAATTATGTTCTACAAATTCATTTCTTGTTCATATTATACTATAATTATATTTTAATTAATTATATTATTTTATCGTTTTAACCCAATCTAACTATATGTAAAAAATTCGACATGTGTGTGTGTATGTCTGTCTGTGGCATCGTAACTCTTAAATAGATTAACCGACTTCGATGTGGTTTTTCATTTGAAATCCAAGTACTGTTGCGGTAATTTTAACTCTTTGGTTAATACCTTTCCAGCGCTGTTATTGTTACAGAATTTTTTCTAGAATGTAGGACAATTTTTGCCTTTAATTATTCAATTAAATACCTTGCATACGCCAGTATAAGTGACAATTAACGAGAAGAAGATTTTTAAAATTTAATATCATTACCCATTAGTTGTAAGATGACCAGTCAAATGTAATAATATTATTGCAATATCTTACATTATATTAAAAAATACAAGTGTATAGATAAGTGGCAGGGAAATTATATCTGGATGATAAAGAATACATTATTTCTTAATACACTATGCCAGAAAAGTGTCGAAAAATCCTTTTAATTAACTGCTCTAATTACAGGGTTTATTTTTGAAAAATCTATAATATACACACGACTTGAGATGTATTTAAATATGAGACGAAACCTCTTAGCATTTAATGTATTCACTGTGCGGGTGCCGGGTCCATCACATTGCAGGGAGAGGATCTTCAACAGTGACCGGGACTTGCGACCCAGGTGTAGGTTTAAGGGACCTCTATCTAACGTACGTTAAACGCTCACCTCCACCGTCCAAGCTCCACTCTCTACCAAATTTAAAACGTACCTACTAGGGCTGCCTTCAAAATACGTTCTAAGAATGAATTAACGTAAGTTCTGGACATGCCCTGGTCTTTTAGTAGGTTGTAGAGGGATTTAGCCGTTATACCTCTCACTCCTACTTCTACCCACCTACTTAACTTCTACGATATGAATTAGAGATTTTAATACGTATATGACTTTATTGTTAAGAGTCAACCAAAAAATATTTAACTTCTCAGATAAAATTGTCATTTATCCAAATTTTCCTACACTGTGGAACAAGAAGGATTGATACGTAATTTTTGATGTTTAACATTAATTACCTACTCGTAATATATTATTATAATAATGCTATTTAATCTACTATATGTATTTATTCAAATATTCTTAAAATGCTTTTACCGATCTGTCACTCTAATTCAAATAATTAAAACTAAAGTTCTACTTATCGCTTGAAAAATGTTGTCGTTTTTTTGAAAGCCTTCATTTGAGTTTCCGAAAAATGTAATTAGTCGCATTTATTTTACATTGTTGCTTTTTTGGTAACAAATATTAAAATGTAAGCTAAGACTATCACATGGACAGTTTTATTTAAGATTTAATTTATGATAATAAGAAATTCTATTCACCTGTTTAAATTGTTTAAATGACAGTTATGTTTAATGCATTGTTAATAAAAAGTTTCTATAATAATGTAATTTTTAAGTTTATTTCTAGTTAGTTTAACATTGCTGTAGCACTTTCCGCAAATAGAAAGGATGTTGAAAGTAAATAGCTACAATGCTCGACTGTTATACAGAGGCTGTGACAAAGCGTTTACGTTCGTTTCTTGAAGGGTGGCAATTAATCTTGTTATATCTAAATAGCTTTAATCTTAGGAAGATACTGTTGTGGATTCATTCATTATTTTTATTCTCATAACATTATTTAATATGTAAATTATATAAAATTAAACATTATAATTTATCGCCATGTATATAATAAAGCAGACTATTATGTACTACTATTTATATACTCTGATTATTATTATATATTATGTACTGATATGTATGACTCCTTTCACGTCAAATGTCAGTATATATGAAAGTTTCTAGGGTCAATTATCACAAGACGTATTGTACATAGAAACGTTTTGCAGTCAATATATCCTCAACCAAAATGCATCTTACTCATTACGATATTAATTAATAGAAAAGAAAATCTAAAAATAAAATATATTGGTATATTTTGTATTATGTATATTTGTATATTGTATTTAATAATTTTATTGTAATATGAAATGGAAATCGTCCGTCCAATCTTATCAAATTAAACGAGGAAGAACAAGTAAAAATATTTATATAAATTGGTTACAAGTCACCTGAATATTTTATTTTATATGTATGATAGATTCAATACAGTGACATTTTCAAAGGTCATAAATTATATGTTTTTCTATTTAGAGAATAATAATTAACCTTTAACTGAATACAATCACTGAATATTTGGGTTCATTTGTTGGTCAAAGACCATAGTAAAATTATGGAGGAAAAAACTCAAGAAGAACATCTGTTGAAATATTATATGAAGCTTAAATAAAATAATTGTATCTGCTTCTTCTACCTGGCAATTTCCCAGCTATAGCCAGGGTCTGCCTTACATGCTGTGAATAGTTTTGGCTAATTGTTTTTACGACCGCCTGCCTGACATCAACCCTCTTTGGGAATAAATAAAGGTATACTCTATAATAATTACGATAATTCCTACAGTAATATTTCTTCTACAGAAAAAATAAATATTTGTTGTAAATGCTAGACATAATCATCTGCGTATTTACATGCCCCGTTTAACCCGGCACTGAGCTTTATTGCATCTTTGTATGCAGACATTTAAATAGTGACGTCACTAGTGATGTCATAGGTCGTGGATGACGTCATCAGCTACATCTATACACAAGGATGTAATGCTTCGTTCAATGAAAGGACACTAACATGTAGTTATTGAATATTAATAAACTGCGAAGCTGCGAGCGGAAAGATAGTTTAAAATATACATTAAAGTTATAAATATATTTCAACGTGTTAGTTAATTAAACTAGGTTCTTTCATAAACAGTAAAAAACTAATATAAATATTGTCTGTTTGTTTGTTAATATTAAAGTTTATATATAATAGTGATAAGGCTTTAGAAGTGACGTCAGTGTTGCTACGTGTGGGTGATGATTGACAGAGGTCCTAGTGGCTTTGTTAATCATATTAGTAACTTGTTGGTAAATGTTATATTACTAATAATTTAGTTAAACATCATCATCATCATCCTATCAGAGCCCACTGCTGAGCTGCCTCTTCTCACATGGAGAAGGTTTGAGCATTAATCACTACGCTTGCTCAAGACGGGTTGGCCAATTCCAATTTATAATTTGAAATTATAAGTAAAGGTTTCCTCACTATGTATTTCTTCACCGTCTGTCAGTGATGTCTAAATACTCTTGGAAAGTACATATGACTCGGAAAAATCACATTGGTACTTGACAGTTTTCGAACCCGCGCCCTCATGCATGAGAGGCGGACCTTTAACCACTAGACCACCACGACTTTTAGCTAAACCAAACATGACAATACTATTTACATGACCACGATGTAATCTTTTAAATCTAATTCTTTGTATTCCGTGGAACATTCTATTGAAATCCTTCATAAATTTAATATGAAAACGTCGGCTCATGACAAAGACATGGTTAAATCTTTGCCCGGGTTAAGTTATATGTTGAACCAATTAGATTTGAAGCTAGTATGAAAGTTATAACTTACTTCGCTATCTTTGAATAGAGTTAGATACAATAGTCGCGCTGTCATACCGTCCACTTTTTGGAAGGCTTTTGGAAGGATTTGGAAGGAAGAAGATTTTCTTCACTCATAAGTAATGAATTATGGGAAAGACGCTTATAGTATAGTAGAAATACTGAAGATACATTGTGATGAGAGGAACTAAGATAACATCTCGTCTTAATGATCACGGTTGCTGAAAAGTAAACAAAACTTCGGGAGTATGTAGTTTACAAAGACGAAACTTCTCAGCATTCCATGGATTCACCGTGCGGGTGCCGGGTCCATCGCGTTGCAGGGGAAGGAGCTTCAACAGTGCCTGGGACTTGCGACCCAAGTGTAGGTTTAAGGGGCCCCTTAACTAACGCGCGTTATACGCTCACCTCCACTGTCCAAGCTCCTCTCCCTACCTAACCAAATTTGAAAAGAACCTACTAGGGCTGCCTTCGATGTACGTTCCAAAAATGCATTAATGTGAGTTCTGGACAAGCCCAAGTCCTTTAGTAGGTTATAGAGAGATTTCGCTGTTATACCTCTCGCTCCCACCACTACCGCGTACAAATCTACTACGAACCTATTTCGAGTGAGTTCGTTTGTGAGCTCGTAATATTTGTTGACCTTGATGGTATGGTCTTTGGGGATGTTGGTTTCCCAAGGGACCGTAAGCTCTATCATCACTACGCGCTTTAAAATTCGCGAAAACAAAAAAATATCCGGTCTGGAGGCCGACGCACAAATATCCTCGGGGATTTTATATTGTTTTTCATACGTGTCCATCATTATAGTCCAATCCGACGCCGCTTTAAGGATGGAGTAAGGCTTGACGTTTGATTTTGTAGCCCTAGTGCCTTCTTTCACAAAACCTACTGATCGTTCGTTTGTGGTTATTCCCTTTTGCGCTCTGGCTACCGAAAGACTAACCGCTTCACGTATGACTTCTAGAACCCTATCGTGACGACGCGAGTATTGACCGCTGTCAAGGAGTACCTTACATCCCACCAGCAGATGCTTAGCAGTTCCAACTGCCTTTCCACAGATATAGCAAGTTTTTTCGGTACTTTTACCCCATCTTACTAAATTACTCTGATCTGGGAGAGTCATCTGGAACGCATTGAGATAGAATTTTAGCAATGCTGGCGACCAATCATAAATTAAAGTGCGCCATTTTAATGCTAATGGGATGCAAAAATCTCCTATGTCTAACCACTCGTTCTGCATTTCTAAATTCATTGCATGGATCTTGTTTTATCATTCTCGTCTTGCCGAATAAAAGACTTCAATATATCCGCATCTTGGACTTTCCTATTTGATCCTAACCCCGCTCTGTTACTTTGCGCTCCTATCATAAATTGCTTATGGAATTGAAGTCGTGACTCTAGCTCGGGGGCATCTTCATCTTTTGGGAGCGATGTCACTATGTCATCATGGGATTTCCCCAGGATATATCTCTTGGAAACTCTTAGGTGTTTATAGAGCTCCGATGGCCTTTTTAGACTCATCATAAAGTACGCGTAGTATATCCGAAAAATATTAGTTTCATTTAAAGTAAGATAAGCAAAAGATACATCCTTATTAATTATCACTGATAGAGTGAGTTGAGTGATATAATATAACATATGATTCTATATTTCGTAATACACACTTAACTGTTAAGTATTTTTCCGAGCCTGTACATAAAGCTTTGACATACATTTTAACCACGATAAGTTAGGTTAAATCTTATATATAAAATTCTCGTGTCGCGGTGTTAGACAGAGAACTCCTCCGAAACGGCTAGAACGATTTTGATGAAATTTTGTGAGCATATCGAGTAGGTCTGAGAATCAGCCAACATCTATTTTTCATACTCCTAAGTCATAAGGGTTATTCACCCTTAATATTTTTGTTTCGGTCGAAATTTTTTGTTTTTATAATGTAGCATTAAAAAATACAGACAATCCAAAATTTTTATCTCCAACCCCTATTTTTTGTATGGCAAAACAACGTTTGCTGAGTCAGCTAGTTATCGATAAGTACTTTAGCAACATTATTTTATTGATTAATACTGATACATGAAGTTTTATTTCTTGAACTAAATATAATCATACTAAAATATTATACAGGGTGACTGGTGAATTACTATCGATATTTGAGGACGTGATATTTGACGATCATATATGACGAAATAAAAATTAATATAACATAAATATTAATAAACTTCTAAGTAAAGTTAACCAAAAGTTGTGTAATTAATTACGCATCGTATGAACACCCTACAGATTACTCTACACTACACACTCACACATACGCGCGCGGCGGCGTGTTGTTGTATCAGCACGCCGCCGCACGCGTCCACACTTGGAACACTTGGAACGTGTACACACTTTATTTATTTATACCGAAATTTGGTCAAAAATTAAGTACCTATTTTTTTTACATAATTCGAATGAGAATCATGTACCGAGTATGCTCCTTAAATATTGATAGTAATTCACCAGTCACCCTGTATAATTAAAAAATGTTTAGGAATATACATTTATCATTAAAGAACGAGAAGTTTTCACAAGATGCTCATTAGAGTGAGGACTCTCACCTCTATTTTGTGTTGCGAGACAACACCGATATTTTATTAAATAGAACTTTACGGAACATATTCAAGATATATTTATTACTAGCTTTAACCCGCGGCTTTGTCTGCGTTAGTTTCATAATAAGAAACAGCTGACCAGACAGCCTGTTTTGACTTAGAAGCAGTATATAAACAGATTTTCGATTATATTAGCAAATTTTTGTTGGTTGAACAAATTCAAAATTATCCTATGTCCGTCTCCTGATTCCAATCTACCTACCCACAAATTTTAAGTCAAATCCGTACAGCCGTTTTTGAGTTATAAATAGTGTAACTAACACGTTTTTTTATATATATAGAATAATATAAGTAAAACACAAATTAAATAATCAATATTAAGACATAGTGGTATTAAATTTAACATTTAAGTGAACAATTTCATTATTTAATGCCCAGAAAGAATAAATTCATGTTAAATGATGAGTTTGAAGTACGTACGGACAGAAAATAACTAATAATATATAATGATTTATTGTTTAATGTCGACGAGTCCTACTGACGAATCGTTTGTTCATACTATCAGAGAATTGAAATACTCAAATCGTTGTGTAAATTAAAACCGAGTATTTGTTCCTTAAACCTCTCACGAAAGATCGCTGTTCCAATATTATAATTAAATATTTTTCTTACTTTTAATTTGACTTTTAATTTTATTATTTTGTTTTATAAACGTCAATATTCTTATTAAAGAGCATTTCCATTAAATCGAGGTGTCGAAGATAGAGTTATGTTGTACATTAAGGTTTTAATAAATAGTAGTTTTAATTTGAAATTCCAAAAATTGCATATATGTATGTTAAAGTTGTTAAATTAATATATATTACAATCAAATACAATTTCGATATATTTTGACTCTTATAAGAACTTTTAGAGGGTTTTCTTCAGAGGCGACTAAAAACAATTATGGTAGATACTTATTTGGGCAGACAGAATAGGGATAGCACTATTTATTCTCAGAAAATAGTCATTATGATGAAGATGATATACCCTCCTGTCAGTCATCCCTATCCCATATTTCCAACTATCCCTATCCTATTATTTAATCAACTTTCTTCACATATTCTCCGTTGAAGAATCCATCTTAAGCCAAACCTAGCATTTATTGGAACTTAAACCATTTAAAATTATATGAACCAATCATTTTTACAAGTGAACATAAAAATACCAATGTATTAATTAAAAATGAGATCTAATACTTTTGTGAGTATTTAAATGAAACTAATATTTTTATACTATGCGTGCTTTTTTTGTCTACATACATCTCGTCTGTCCGCGATCACGGTTGCTGAAAAGTAACCGAAACGTCGGGAGTATGTATTCACAATAATAACATACGCGTAGTAGTACGAACAATATTAGTTTCATTTAAATGAATTCATTGATTATGAAAATCTTATAAGTGATCACTGTTCTTTGAGGAAAAACTATTTCGTTTATATAGCCTTACCTTGAACACGTCAGTCATGGACAGCAAAAATTCTGCAGAAATATATGTGGCATATATATTATTTAAAATATAATAAAGAAATGAAGTTTAAGAATAATTTCTTGCCAACAACCTGTCTAATAACAATTTTAACTTTATTACAATATATATAAAAAAAATACATTCAAAAACCTATCCATTAATATTTAAAGGAAACTAATATTTTTCGGATATACGCGATTTATTTTCATAAAAAACTACATACTCGCGACGTTTCGGTTACTTTCACACATTTCCATTAATAATAAGTTTTTCTATGAGATTTTTTCTGATAATTTATTCAAATTAAATTGTCCTTAATATAGGTCATGGTTTATTAATTCGACTATTTTCCTCCAAAGTCGTCTTTCAGTCGTGTGATCGAGACAGTGACGTCATATGTCAAACATTCCCAAATTTATGTATAAGAAACTACAAGGCACATATTTACTCATATTTTCATTCAAAATCTCATAAGATTATTATGTACTAAGAATTTTAATATTAAAACTAAAGACTCCGCATAGTTCGTGGAAATTACTAAATATAATAAACTGTCGTTTAAATAAAACTATTATTATTTTTTGTACTACGCGTATTTTATTATTTTAACTACATACATACTCTTCACGTTTCGGTTACTTTTCAGCAACCGTGATCATTAAGACGAGATTTAAATAAAAATAAAACTTAACACTATCAAAATGTATATCTAGAGGTAGTATATATATTTAAGTATTCATATATATACTAAGTAACTATTTAATGTATATAAGAAATATATTTAAATGAATTACACATCACGCATACTTTCATTGAAAGAAATCGTCCCAAATCCTTGTAAGTTACTGAGGTCCTACAACAGAACGTAATAAAAATTCTCGATGCAATTTAGATAATGAAAGCAATACGAAATATACATATACAAATATACATATATATGAAAAATATTCAATGGACGAAATGACGAGCATAAAATAAATATTTTTGTTACACTTAATTCTTAAACATACCTATCTTTTATATGTATCAATGCAAAATTATTTGTATTTAAAAATAATAGTTTTATAGAAAAATATGTGTTATTTCCTTAAAAAACGTAATATTACCGACTGAAAACCATATGAATCGTGAAAATAAATATTTGAGTTGGTTCATGTAAAACTTTTCTCATTAATTCATCCAGAGTTACAACTACAAACACTAGAATATTCTTCAACTGTACTTCTATAACGGCGTACAGCTACATATAATTATTTTCAAGCTGTTTGTCTATACTGAAGCTGTATCGCCCTGTTCTGGTCGAGCTATTTGAGCACATAGAAACAACATACTTTAGATGCACTGCCAAAGACTGATGCGTTATGTATTGTTCATATAAATAGTAATTATATTAATTATACGTACAATAAAAATATATATATTTTAAAACATTTTCCTTTAAGTATATTATCGTAATTTTTATAATTGCAATACTAATAATATATGAAAATAATATAAGAAAAACTATTTAAATTTTTACCTTGACTGATATTAATGATACGATCTTTTTTATCATTAATCATTATAGTGATGTTGAAATTACTTTACCTGGGACACGCGTCATATATATAATTAAATCGTACTAATATATTAATAAAATTAAATAAAATAATTAATAAATCATGATGTAGTACATTTTAAACTTACAGATTTTGACAGGAAAAAAAAAATACGTTGAAACACTTCACAATCTAAGTCCACATAATCACTTTGTACACACGCATTTTGTATTTCATTTTTACAATGGCACTCGGTATACGCCTTTACTATATATATAAATATGTATACATATATATTTTTTATTATTTTCGGTGTAAACGCGTCTGTCCGGGCGACCAAGCTGAGACTCGTTGCTAACTTCGCGTCTATATGCGCGGGTCGCAATGCGCGCCAACTTCAGACGGTCCGCGTGACCTAATTCGGACGCAATGAATTATTTTAGAAATGGCAACGCATGCTGCAACTTTTCTCCTAATATCATATTGTTTGGATCTATTAAGGATTATTCCTTTGTTGGTAGCTTCATTGGAATTGTTAGTATACCGGGAAGTTTTGTTATTTTTATATACTAGCACTTTATTTACATATGGATAAAGAAGAATTTAGTTTTGATAGAATTTAGAAATATTACTCTTCCTTCGTTTTCTATTAGTAAAGCTAATAAAAATATTTAAAAAAATCAAAAAATATATAAAATAAAGATAATTAATTTTTGTAACGTATTCATTTTTAAATTCTACTTTATTTTTATTACTCTCAAATATAAACAAAATTATAATAAATTTTATTGGAGTAGACGAAATTTAAGTCCAAAAATCCGTAGACCCTCTACGGTACTAATCGTAGAGGATGCTACGGTTGACACTAAGCTACGTAGTGTCCAA